AAGAACTAAAAAGGAATGTGATTATAGCATAGTGAGCAACTGGAAGAATAACATACGATAAAGCTGAAACGGTAGTCAGCAGGCAGACTATCCAGAACCCAAGTGATATTTTCAGTCAAAATGGGACATAATCTCATTTACACTTTAAAGCAAAATGCAGCAAAACTAAAAAGAAAATAAGGAGAAGAAGAAGAAGGAGAAGGAGAATGATGATCAGTAAGAGAAGAGGTGAGAAAAACATTTTGGAAGCAATTGTAATAAAGTAATCCAGGTAAATTAGAACTAAAGTAGTCTCACCACTGTAAGTTTAGATATTTTAACTTCGTCCCAAAAGTACAGAAAGCCTTTATCAAGAAAAATTACTTTGTTATATTTCTTATGTTACATATTATAAAATATTTATTATATAAACATATATTAAATAAAAATTGTATTTCATTACATTACTATTTAAATTACATATTGGTGTTATTTTAAAATTTCTCATCAGTTAATAGACTAAATGACTAGACACAAGTCCAATCAAGGAACTGGAAATACTCAAAGAAGGGACAAGACCTTGAAATAAGAGATTACCTGAGATTAAAAAGGAGAGACAGGCCCTGGCCAGTTTGGTTCAGCGGTTAGAGCGTCGGCCTGCGGTCCGGAGAGACCCGGGTTCGGTTCCCGCTAAGGGCACGTACTTCGGTTGCAGTTTGTCCCCGGCCCTGGTTGGTCGTGCGGGTGGCAGCCACTTGATGTGTCCCTTCACGTCGATGTTTCTCTCTCTCTCCCTTCCTCTCTCTCCCTCCCACTCTATCTGTACAAAAAATGGAAAAATATCCTTGGGTGAGGATAAAAAAAAAAAGAAAAAAAAAAAAAAGGAGAGACAGGCCAGAGAGCTAGTATAAAAGAAAGTGAAAGGGTCAATGATGAGCTGCAAGAAGGGAGTGAAGTGTGAAGGCGTTGACCAGTACAGCAGGTCAGTGCTTCTCAAACTATGTGTGAAAAACACACATTTTTTAAGTACACAAAATAAAAGCACAAATATTTTTATTATTTGACTCCATAAACATAAAATTACTTCAATAAATGTAATCTGAATAAAGACAACATTGGGAAAGAGGAAATAATTGCCGAACCTGTCCACGTTGTTCACTGAATGTGCATGTACGCAAATGTTTTTTGTTTCTTTATTAATTAGTTTATTTTTGTTACAGATGTTTCTCCTTTTCCCCCCACTGCTTCCCCTTCCCCCACCCTGTCCCCAGCTTTGTTGTCTATGTCCACTGTTCATGCATACATGCATATAAGTTCTGTGGTTTATCTCTCCCCCCCCCCCTCTTCTGGGGATTGTCAGTCTCTACCCACTTCCGCGTCTCTGGGACTACCCCATTCCTCAGACTGTTACGTTCATTATATTCCACAAATAAGTGAGATCATGTGATACTTGTCTTTCTCTGTTTGGCTTGTTTCACTTAGGATAATACTTTCCAGGTCCCTCCATGTCGTCTCAAAGGATAAGAGATCTTTCTTTCTTACAGCTGCATAGTACTCCATTGTGTGTATGTACCACTGCTTTTTTATCCATTTGTCTACTGATGGACACTTGGGCTGTTTCCAGATCTTAGCTATTGTAAATAGTGCTGCTATGAACATGGGGGTACATATATTCTTTCTGATGGGTGTTTCAGGCTTCTTAGGGTATATTCCTAGAAGTAGGATCACTGGGTCAAATGGAAGTTCAATTTTTAATTTTTTGAGGTAACACCATATTGTTTTCCATAGTGGCTGCACCAGTCTGCATTCCCACCAGCAGTGTACTAGAGTCCCCTTTTCTCCACACCCTCGCCAACACTTATTTGATGATTTGTTGATGGCGGCCATTCTGACAGGTGTGAGGTGATACCTCATTGTTGTTTTAATTTGCATCTCTCTGATGATTAGTGATGTTGAGCATTTCTTCATATGTCTCTTGGCCATTTATATGTCCTGTTTGGAGAGGTGTCTATTCAGCTCCTCTGCCCATTTTTTAACTGGTTTCTTTGTCTTCCTTTTGTTGAGTTGCATGAGCACTCTCTATATATTGGAAATTAACCCCTTATCTGATATATCATTGGCAATTATGCTCTCCCATACAGTAGGTATCCTTTCCATTTTGATGACTGTATCTGTTGCTGTGCAGCTTTTGAGTTTGATGTAGTCCCATGTGTTCATTTTCTCCTTTGTTTCTGTTTCCTTAGGTGATGTATCAGTGAAAATTCTGCTGCGTATGATGTCTGAAATTTTGTTGCCTACAGTTTCTTCTAGGATTTTTATGGATTCATGAGTCACATTTAAGTCTTTTATCCATTTTGAGTTTATTCTTGTGTATGGTGTAAGTTGATGGTCTAGTTTCATTTTTTTGCATGTAGCTGGCAAATGTTTTTATACTTGTAAGTTTTCATTATACATCATAACTAAACAAAAACTTTTAAGCAAAGGGTGATTTCCCAAAAGAAACGATTATGTAAACACTTTGAATAAACATTGAGAATATAAATATTTAAAGTTTATCATGTGACTTTGAGCTTTTTGCTTGTTATAATTAATTTAATCCAAGTTGAACCAGAAACAATGTTACTCATGTAGCTAACCTGTTTTTAATGACATTCAGAGGTATGTTGATGAAATGAAAACTCAGCTTAGAATATTTACTTTAAACTTTTATCCAAAATGAAACTAGAAATGCTGTATCTTTAATTTTTTTTTTTATCCTCACCCGAGGTCATTTTTCCGTTTTTTGTTCAGGTAGAGTGGGAGGGAGAGAGAGAGAGAGAGAAACATTGACATAAAAGGGACACATCGAGTGCCTGCCACCCGCACGACCCAACCGAGGTACATACCCTTAGGGGAAACCAAACCCGAGATTCTCAGGACCGCAGGCCGATGCTCTAACCGCTGAGCCAAACCGGCCAGGGCAAAATGCTGTATCTTTAAAACATACCATTAATGTTCAATACCCAGTTCCAGTAATTTGTCCTGCATAGTTATAATCACATATAAATTGCTTCACTGAAAGAAATAGTTCCAGTTACATGAATTTCTTATGTATGAATCTTCTAACGGAAAATAAAACTCAAAACACTCTATCAAATATGACAAGAACTAACTTTTCAAGGATGAACAAAATCAAGTTTATTCTTTTTTTTTTTTATTACTTGATCCTCACCTGAGGATATTTTTTCTATATATCGTGAGACAGAGTGGGAGGGAGGAAGGTGGAGAGAGAGAGATACCAACTGGCTGCCTTCCACACAACCCTGAACAGGGCCAGGGACGAATCTCAACTGAGGTGCGTGCCCTTGACCAGAATCGAACCCATGACTCATTGGTCCGCAGGCCTATGCTCTAAGCACTGAGCAAACTGGCCAGGGCTCAACTTCATTCTTAAAGATCAAGATAGTTCACTGATAATTATTATTAAATAATGAAACATGTCATACAAACTGTGTCCTTGCAAGATTCTAACATTGATTCTTGTCCTCGGACACTTTCTGCAGTAAAAGGAGTTGCAATCCTCCTTTGTTTGGAAGTACTACATTCATTAAAAATGTTTACACATTTTACAAAGAGGCCAGTCCTATTCATCTTTAAAGAGTAAAATCCAACTGATTTTTATCCTGTGAAAACACTAAGAGTTGACTTTGCTGTTCCAATACTATCAACTGACTTCTCCTCTCAAAAGCCACTGCAGCTCAGCCGGTGTGGCTCAGTGGCTGAGCGGTAACCCGTGCGCCAAGAGGTCAGGGCGCATGCCCCGTTGTGGGCCCGATCCCCAGTGGGGGGCATGCAGCAGGCGGCCAATCGGTGCTCTCTCATCCATGTTTTTATCTCTCTCTCCCTCTCCCTTCCTCTCTCTGAAATCAATAAAGAAAAATAAATAAGTAATAGTATCAACTGGAGCTCAGGTCCTCCCCAAACTCACTCAACTCAGTTCCCTGCCATTGCAGGCTCACGTCCCCACTTTTCTGCTGACCGGCAGCCAGGCAGCGCTCACGGCGCCTGCGCGGTGAGGTCCTGTCTCTGTCCCAGGTCAGCTCCGCGTAGCAAAGCCACAGCCCTCCCGCCGCTCTGCAGACAGCCAGGCAAAGCCTCTGCCCTCACAGGCTCCCAGGTTCGGGGCAGGGCTACCTGGATGCTGGCCTATGGAGAGGACCTCGTCACGGCGGAGAGCACCACGCTGTGCCTGAGGAATTACGCAGTGTGCACACAGGAGATCTGAGGTGCGATGTGGGGTGCAGAATTCAGCCACTACAATTCTTTGCTCCGCAGAGACACTCTCTCGTTCACCTCACCCAGACATCATCGTGGCTATTTAATTTGTCATCTCTAAAACTTCCAGTTGGTTCTTTCTAAACTCTTCATTTTTCTCATTATGTTCACTTTTTCTTGTAGACTGAAAAATATCTTGTACTTACTAATAGCTGTTTGAAAGTCCTCATCTAATAATTCTAACATGTCTGTCATTTTTTAATCTATTGCTCTTGACCTTTTTTCTCCTGCTTATGCATCACATTTTCCTGCTTCTTTGCACATTTAATACTTTTTATTAGATGTTTAATATTGACTTTTATGTTGCTTGTTGAGGAATTTTCTTATACTCACTCCTTTAAAGGAGTTGGAACTCTGCTCTGACAACTTGTCTAACTTTCCATTGGTCCGATGCTTTCATGATTTAGGGCTACTTTAGTCCCTCTGCTGAGCTGTGGCCCTTCTGCATTCTCTAATAAATGATACCACTGTGCATATGACTATACATATCATTAGGTATTCTTAATTTGCAGATGGTACTTCAAAAATGTAATGGAAAATAAATATAAGAGCTATATTTGCTCTCCCTAGGCGGGTATAAATACAATGTATTTCTCCATGAAACCTGAGGTGCATACTTGTTTGTAACAACAGCATTATGGATTATTCTTTCTATAACATGGTGAAGTAAGAATACCCAACAGGTCAGGAGGTGAGGTCAGTATTACCTTTGTAAAATGAGTGGGCAAAGCTCTGCTCAGGAATTAACTTGGCGAGGAATCCATGGTTCAAAGCTGGGTGAGGGACAGACGGCACGACCACAACTGCGAAGAGAACACGGAATCAGAGCTGAGTGCGGGGACACCACGCGCCCCGCCGAGCGCGGGCCTCTCGCGCCTCTGCCGCCGGACCGCGCTAGCAACGGACGGCACCTCCGGTGCAGGGAAGTGGTTGTGTTAGGAGGAAGGAAATAATATACTTAAGCAATTATAGCAACAGACACAGACACATACAAATGCACAAAAAATTCAGAACTGGTTTTAATGAACTGGCAATTCACGAATACAATGCTTATTTTATGCATATATGACTGATAGAATGCATTAAAATAAAGAAAAAGTTGATTAAGACAATAAAGTCTTAGTATTTTAAATGGTAAAAAGACAAACTGCAATGGTAAAATAATGTTTAATTTGAAGAACAAAGTTAAAAGTAAGATTATACTACAATGAAATATCATGTTTATGAGTTTTAAAAAAGCATGCAACAGCAAAGTATTAAACATAATCCATATGTCCACAACAGCAATGAAAAGTAAATGAGATATGATATGCTATCGAAAACATGATGCAGAGATTTGACCACTAATTTCTATGAACTTTTAAAAATATCCATTTTATTTATATGTCATATACATTTATTCAGGAAAGACAATTTCAACTACAAATTAATCCAGTGATGCATGAAATAACCACAGGGTTACCAAGGTTATACTGCAAACAACAGAGAAACAACCTTGATATAAACACCTGGCCTGAAAAGCAATTGCTAGGAGGAACCCCATTAGGTTAAAATATTAGTTGCCAGAAAATGTGTTTGTTATTTTCAAGCGGAGTTGACAAAGCTGATAATGCAAGAACTCCTACAGTACGAGATCTGCTATAGATAAGAAAGACAACGTGAGCCAAGATGTTCAGTGTGGTCTATAAGTCTTTCATTTTAGTTGAAACTATTTTAGTATAAAGTTTAGAATGTATGTTTGCTTATTATGAATCTGACAGAATACTGACATTGAATATAGGATGTTTTGAATATAGAATATACTGAATATAGGATATTGATTTTTAGATACTGAAATAACGACACAGCAAAACAAATAAAGGAAGGAAGGGAGGGAGAAGGAAAGAGACAAGAGAGGGACAAGGAAGGCAGGCAGGCGGGCAGGAAGGAAGGAAGGAAGGAAGGCCATCTCTGACCATGGCTATAAGATTTATAGTTTAGCTGAGTGTTGGTCTTGTACTACTCTATGAGCACCTCCTAATTTGATGTTTATATAAGTTAGAATTAATATATTTAAAAATCAATGAGTTACTTGCACAAAAATAGTAGTATATAAATGATTTTATCAATAAATGTAAAACATTAAAACCAAAACTGCACTGATAAATGAAAATATAGCAAATATCATGGAAAGCCATTCATACATTTTTGAGGAATTAAAAGAATATTAAATTGGCCTTTATATACCATGTACTTTTAGATATTTGAGGTGATTATGAATAGAATCAGTTTAAGTCTGGATGTACAAATGAAATTAAGAGGAGGTAAGAGATAATGGAAATTCAAATAATTTAAAAAATATTAAATACCTGTACTTGTTGGTGAATTTATTTCCTGTCTGATGTTTCTACCTGGTTGGCTTCCAGTTCTCGCAGTCTCTCGCTGGGGCTCTAATATGTCACGATACTTGGAAACCATCAGAACCGAAATGAAGTAAACAACAGCTAGAGCTAAGAACTGTGCCTGCTTGCTATCGTCCTGTGTAAAATGAAAAGGCAGTTTTGACATTCAAAATTTTTAAAGTTAAATTCTTAGAATACAAGAAACTATTCCTATTTTATTTTATTTATGAAGGCAAAATACGATGTTTAACTTCTATTAAAACTTGTTAAGTGTATAGAGTTATTCAGTAAGTATCAAATACAAATTCCAGGAATATATCATCTGAGTTATAGATTGAAGCGTAATTTAAAAAAACAAGAATGTTAAAATTTTGCAGAACATGCAAAAAACTTATTCTTTGTCCTTTTCACCATTATTATCTATTACTTTCATATCACAGTATGTATATGAAAAATATACAGATATATGCAGAATGTAGTATGTATATTAAAATATGTAATATGTATATTAAAAATATGCATGAGGTTGAAAAGAGCAATTGAATGCCTCAAGTATAAAAACAGTTTCAAATGAGGTTAGTAAAAAATCAACAGAGTAAAATTACAATTGAAATACATTTACAGTTCTAAAATGTTACTATTTGAGCAGGACACTATTAATACACAATGGGGCATAGAAACAGTGGTGGAGCATAAAACAAACTTTAAACAAGGCCAATATGAGCTAGAAGGGTGGCATGGTAGCTTAAGAGAAAGCCAATGAAATCTTTACCTGCATAAACAGATTAAAAAGAAGTAACAACCCCATTACCCTGCACTAGACAAACAATAAGTACTGGTCCTAATTTCAAAGGTTTAAAAACAAAATGAAATTCTTCCAGAGGAAAAGAGTCAAACAGTAAAAGGTCTGAAAGAGATCAGCCTCGTTAGGATAAAGAGATACTAGTTTTTAAAAAGCAGCTTGCAGTCTGGTAGAGAAGATAACTTTATAGTAAGTATGCTTTGCAAAAATTTAAGAACTGCATATCACCTTCAGAGCGCTATCCAAAAAGCCTCGATAACCATCTTACAGGGAAAAACTGTTAAAAAGAAAAATTACCAAAAAAAACCCCAAAAGAACAAAAAAGACTAAGAAAAAAGCAAATTTATATGACCTGTATGACCACTTCCAAGTTATTTGATATATAAAGAATTAAATGTAAATGATGAGAAAGACTTTCTCTAAGCTAGGGAAAAGTGATACTTCATATCAATACTGCAATTTGTGCCCCAAAGATAACAAGTAAAAATTAGAGTCATAAAAATAAGGAAAACAAACATGCATTAAAGTCTAATAATTCTATTAATGGATTATTTATATTTATTACTTCACTTAAGTACAATATGAACAAAATTCAAAATTTATGTGCACTTTTCAGAACAGAAAGTAAACAAAAAATATTTATTGATGATTTAGTACTGTGGAACAAAATTAGTATAGCTAATGGAGAAAATGACCAAAATAAATTAAATTTGGTCTGGATTATGAATTTAATATTTCATACTCTGTGGGTGACAGCTTTTCTAGGGATACAGTTTCTTACGAAGTGTTTAAAATGCACACTCCTTGCATTACAATACCAATGGAATAAATATAAAGAGAAAAGGGAAAAAAATCAAAGCTTAAACGGTTATTATAAAGGATATTAGTACAATCAAACTAACAAAAGATACTGACCAAGAATAAATGCAATGCAGCTCAAGCTGTAATAGACTATAATATCCTACAATTCTTTTTATTTCCACCACTGGAAACTCAGTACCAGGCAATTAGAAGGCTTTTAACAAATATGTGTGAAACAAATGAATATCAACTACCAAGCTGTAGAACTGTATATAACAGATACTGTTGTCCTAGCCAAGCTAAAATCTCCCTTATATACCATGCAAATAGTTGCCATTTCTTTTCAAATCCAGATGTGCAAAGTAATTGTGCAGCTTATTCCCAGTTCTATCTTTGAAAAAGAATAACAATATACTTAGAGGCTAAACATCTGGAGAATGACTAAAATTTATACAGATTAATTGACTCTCTTAGGTATTTTATTGTTATGAACACATGGACTTTATTATGTTTCTCCCATAGGCTTAAGAGATGGTGTTCTCCACTATTCAATCTTAAATCAGTAATATAATTAAATAACTCTGAAATCCATTAAAAATTGTAATGCTTCACCCAGAATGTTGGAAAATTTTCAATTCAATTTCTAAGGAAAGTTACTTTGGTTTATATAATATGGGATACAGGTTACCTAGAACAGTAAGTTTCCTTTCAAATTCTGCTTACTAGGGAACACTGGAAACAAAGTTGTTTAAAGGCACACGTTTTTATTTTTACCACATATAAAATTTTGCCAAAAAATGTTTTACTTGGATTTAAACAGTTCATTTGAGTGTAAATCAGCAATATCTTCTGCACAAAAACAATCAAGACATAATTACAGAAGAGGACACACATAACCCATACAAGGGCGATCTCCTGGAGCATCCAGCTCAGAACTTCCAGCAGACTCTCTACTGGGTCCCACAGGACACTTACTAATAAGGCTATTAAGACTGGGAGTCATAGCACAAAGAGAGAGCCAAAATGGAGACACAAAGAAACAAGACCCACATGAGAAAAAAAGAGGAATCTCCAGAAAAAGAGCTAAATTAAATGAAGTCAAGCAATTTATCAGAAAGAGACTTCAAAGCAATGGTTATAAGAATGTACAATGAACCTAGTGAGAACTACTAGGAGCTTAATGAGAATTACAAGGAACTTCGTGGGAACTCTTATCGGCATGAAAAAGGTCATAGAAAGCATAAACAAGAACCAGTTGAGAATGAAGAATACCATAACTGAAATCAAGAAACACTGAAAGAATTAAAAGTAGGCTGGATGAAGCAGTAGATCACATCAGCGACTTGGAGACAACATAAATAAAAACACACAATCAGAGCAATGAAAATTAATAAAAAATGAGGACAGTTTAAGAGAACAGTTAGACAACATGAAACATAACAATAGCCACATTACAGGGGTACCAGAAGGAGAAGAAAGTGAGAAAGGGATAGAAAACCCATTTGAAGAAATAATGACAGAAAACGTCAGACAAGATTAGGAAGCAAAGAAAGTCCCAATTAAGATGAAACCAAACAGACCCACAATAGGAAACATCATAATTAAAATAACAAAGATCAAAGACAAAGATATAATCTTAAAGGCAGCAAGAGAGAAATAGTTACCTAGTTACCTACAAGGGAGTTTCCATAAGGCCTGCAGCAGATTTTCAACAGAAACACTTCAGGCCAGAAGTGAATAACATAAAGTATTCAAAGCAATTGAAAAATAAGAAACTGAAACCAAGACTACTCTATACAGCAAGACTATCACTCAAAATTAAAGGCAAAATAGAGTTTCCCAGACCACAAAAAAAAAAAAAAAAAGGCTGAAGGAGTACATTACCACCAAACCAGCACTGCAATAAATGAATAAATGTTAAAGGAACTGCTTTAAAAAGAAGAAGAACATAGAAAAAACATAGAAACAGGGGTAAAAAGAAAAAAATGGCAATAAATAAGTACCTACCAAGAATAACCCTAAATGTCAATGGATTAAAGTCTCCAATTAAAAGGCACAGTATAGCTGAAAAAACATGATCCATACATATGCCACCTACGAGAGACCCACCTCATAGCAAAAGATTCACAAAGACTGAAAGTGAAGGGATGGAATAAAATATTCCATGCACATGGAAATGAAAAATAAAAGGTGGTGTAACAATACTCATATCTGACAAAATAGACTTCGAAATAAAGGCCATAACAAGAGACAAAAAAAGGTCACTACATAATACTAAAAGGATCAATCCAACAAGAGGACATAACCCTGGTAAACATATATGCACCCAATATGGGAACATCAAAATATATTTTAGAAAACTTCAGTGGATTTTAAGAGAGATCAGCTGAAATAAAGTCACAGTAGGGGACTTTAACACCCCACTATCATCACTGCATAGATTTTCCAGACAAAAAACCAACAAGGAAACAGTGACCTTAAATGACACATTGGATCTGATTGATTCAGTTGATATTCACAGAACATTTCATCCCAAAGCAGCAAAATATACATTCTTCTCAAGTGCACAAGGAGCATCCTCAAAGACAGACCACATGTTAGGACATAAAATAAGTCTTAACAAATTCAAGAAGATTGAAATCATATAAAGCATCTTCTCAGATCACAATGGCATGAAACTAGAAATCAATTATAATTTAAAAAAACATTCAAACATTTCGAAGCTAAATAGCATATTATTAAACAATGAATGCATTAGCAATGAGATCAAGGAAGAAATAAGATTCCTAGAAACAAATGTAAACGAACACACAACAACCCAATATCTATGGGACACAGAAAGGCAGTCTTGAGAGGGAAGTTCATAGCATTACAGGCCTACCTTAGAAACAAGAGGGAAGTTCACAGCATTACAGGCCTACCTTAGAAACAAGAAAAAGCTCAATTAAATAATCTAACCCTACACCTAAAAGAACTAGAAAAAATAAAACAAGCCCAGAATAAGCAGAGGAAATAAATAATAAAGATAAAAGCAGAAAAAAGTGACATAGGGTAGAAAAACACACACACACACACACAAGAGCAAGGAAACCAGGAGTTGATTCTTTGAAAAGATAAAAAAGATTCATGAGCCCTGGCCAGTTTGGCTCAGCGGTTAGAGCGTCGGCCTGCGGTCCGGAGAGACCCGGGTTCGGTTCCCGCTAAGGGCACGTACTTCGGTTGCAGTTTGTCCCCGGCCCTGGTTGGTCGTGCGGGTGGCAGCCACTCGATGTGTCCCTTTCACATCGATGTTTCTCTCTCTCTCTCTTCCCCTCTCTCCCTCCCACTGTCTGTACAAAAAATGGAAAAATATCCTCGGGTGAGGATTAAAAAAAAATAAAATAAAAAGATTCATGAATCTTCACCAACACTCACCAAGAAATATAGAGAAAAGACCCAAATAAATAAAATCAGAAAAGAAAGAGACAAAGTAACAAGTGACTTCAAAGAAATACAAAGAATTATAAGACAATATCATGAACAATTATATGCCA